GAGATTTTTGTCGTTGATTTGGCTTAGCTGATAAATTTTATCTAATACATTTTAAGTATTTAAACTGAACTTTCATTTTTTCTGTAAGAGGGTGCCTGTTACTTATACATGACATGAATCTGATAAAAAATAAAGCAACTTCAGAAAGCTGCCATATTCATTGGGGAACTATCTCGTCCTTATAATGTACGATTTTATTTATACCTTGACGTTAAGCAACCAACAATAAAATCAATCAAACCATGCCAAAACAATAAAAAAGGACGAGACGGATTGGCACGAGAATACCGGGTACGAGCCGACCTTGCAGTCACGAACAAAGGTTTCTTTCCCCGATTCCAGCATTCCCCTTGAATTTTTTTAGTAAGAAAGAGACTTATCAACCCTTACTTTATCTTTTAATATTGGAGCAAATACAGGACACAAAATTAAGTTTTTTTTTACAGCAAACAATCCGTTATCAGCTTTATCAGGGCCCCATGCACAGGAATCGGAAATTCTATCAATAAAATTCTGTAAATAATAAAGTCGACTATCAATAGAGCTTCTCGTATTATTTACAGAATTTTATTGATAGAATTTCCGATTCCTGTGCCCCATGTCACTTGACATAAGACATAAGATTTGTTTGAGGAATTTAGTGATAGGTTTGTTTGTTATTTTATGTAGTTTACACCATGACAAGTTATAGATCATAGTAGGCATACCTGCCAACCTCTGAAACCTTCAAAGAGGGAGATCTCCCTCTCAGCTATGACAGCTGAAAGGGGGGGGGGGGGGGGTTGCGCGAATGACATTTTCAAGTGAAATATATGACGTGTTTATTTATTTATCTACGAAACACATATAAGAGTTAATAGATATACTTTGTTTCTTTAAATATGGTTATACCCTACAGAAGGTGTGTTGTTTGTTTCTTTCCTATTTCATCATCTTTGACATTTGAATCCCATCAGGACAACTTTTCGCCCTAGATACCTCTGTTATATGAGAGCAATCATGTTGTCACTGATGGTGCAATATGTGCGTGCACATTTATATTTCACTAAATTTGGTTCAATACATATCTTATAAATTTCAATATAAACATTGAATAGAAGTATAGATCTTTTAAGTGATTTTTAAAATACATTGTATCATTTTTTTTTTGTCTTAAGGCATACAAAATCTTTTAATTGCCATCCTTTTATGATTCTTTGTTTAATTTGTATTTAGTTTATATTGTTTTATCAATTCACATTATTTTAAGAAGGGTAACTTAGCACATACTTACATGTACAACTTCTCGTCCAATCAAATTGATTGAATATGTTTTCTAATTAAATCTCGTCCAATCAAATTGATTGAATTTGCCTTCTAATTAAATCTCGTCCAATCAAATTGATTGAATTTGCCTTCTAATTAAATCTTGTCCAATCAAATTGATTGAATTTGCCTTCTAATTTTCATAGTACATACTTTTTCCGTGTACTAAGTATAACCATGCATGAATGACCACAAGGGTAAGATTTCATTGTATCGTAATCAAGATATTAAAACAAAAAATGCCACTGGCTATTTTGAAATAAAATGCTGTGTTCCAAATTAAATTAAATAGTATGAAATTAGTTTTCACATTGATTTTTAAATATACTGCTATTAAAATCTTTGGATCTAAAAAAATGTTTTTGACGATTGCAAGTTTCTTTCATTTGAATAAAGAGTAACAAATATGGTTCTTTATACCTTGATTAGAGTACAACGCCATCTTAAAATTGTGATAATTTATCATCCATGCAATTACTTTGTACACAAAAAAGTGTGTACTATGAAACCTTGTGAAGGGAAATGTATCTGTATTTTCTATCTTCTGCCAATCTAAGCACACCTCTGCAATTGGAGTAGAAGGCCACTATCCACCAATATATAAAAACATGATCCACACTATTGAATTATTTACAGTTCTATCACAATCCTTCACTAATAAAACAAATTGTCAAGGTTTATTTACACTAAAAACGTTTTCATCTGCTATAAAATCTAAATGTCAACTAAGCAGAATGTCTCTTATCTACGGGTACCACGATTTCCCGAGGATTACAAGAACAAATTGATTTGTCCCAAAAACATCATTTTACATGGTGTTAAACTGCTTAAACTTGTATAATTATATGGTCTGAGACGTTAAAGTCGTAAATACTCAAAAGAAATACAAGTTATCTTCAAGAAATCGGTTGATATGCAAATTTTTAAAGTTGTCTACCTTTTGAATAATTACGTCCGCCATATTGTTTTCAACAAGTAATTTGCATATAACTTACAAGACATGCTTATTGATTTCCTGAAGTTAAATTGCACTTTTATTGAGTTATTATTCATTGTCCATGAAATTACACTTAAATGATTAGTAAAGACATCTGCAAAGGGCAGACAATTTAAAATTCTATTAGAGCAAAGAAATCTTAAGAATTCAAGAAAAGATAAGATGACTTTTTCACTTATATAAGTAAAAAAATCTGAATGTCTAAGGGACATAACTAAGCCAATTTTATTTTACCTATACAAGTAAATAAAATTAACGTATAAGTATCCTACAAATTTACTTATATAAGTATATTAATATTATTTCTTCAAGTAAATAAAAATGATTTATGTAAGGAATACTTTTTCTGCTGTGATTTATATTCCCATGAAGACATAGAAGGTCAATTTTTAATGATTTTGATGGGCTACATGTATATAGTCTTTCATTTTAAGAGAGGTGCTGTTCTTACAATAATCCTTTTTGTCGAGCATGCGACTTTAGTTGCAGAAAGCTCAACATAGGGATTAGTGATCCGGCGGCGGCATTAACTAACTTCTTAAAAGCTTTATATTTTTGAAAGTGGAAGACCTGCATGCTTCATACTTTGTATATAGATGCCTTATGTTACGAAGTTTCCGTCTGTCACATGTCCATTGTCCTTGACCTCATTTTCATGGTTCAGTGACTACTTGAAAAAAAAGTTATGATTTTTTGTAATGTTAATTTCTTTCTTATTATGAGTAATAGGATAACTATATCATCCCCGCCAGACAGTTTTCACTTGAACTCGACCTCATTTCACGGATCAGTGAACAAGGTTAAGTTTTGGTGGTCAAGTCCATATCTTGGATACTATAAGCAATAGGCATGATAGGCATAGTATATTTGGTGTATGGAAGGATTGTAAAAGAGGGACGAAAGATACCAGAGGGACAGTCAAACTCATAGATCGAAAACAAACTGACAACGCCATGGCCAAAAATAAAAAGACAAATAGACAAATAATAGTACAGATGACACAACGTTGAAAACTAAAGACTAAGCAACACGAACCCCACCAAAAACTGGGGGTGATCTCCATGTAAGATGTACATGTCCAACTGGCAGGTGTCATCTGACCTTGACCTCATTTTCATGGTTCAGTGGTTATAGTTAAGTTTTTGTGTTTTGGTCTGCTTTTCTTATACTGTATGCAATAGGTCTACAATATTTGGTGTATGGAATGATTGTAAGGTGTACATGTCCAACTGGCAGGTGTCATATGACCTTTATCTCATTTTCATGGTTCAGTGGTCAAAGTTAAGTTTTTGAGTTTTGGTCAATTTTTCTAATACTATATGCAATAGGTCAACTATATTTGGTGTATGGAAATATTTTATGATGTACATGTCAGTCTCGCAGGTTTTATTTGACCGTGACCTCATTTTCACGTTTCATTGCTCAGTTTTAAGTTTTTGTGTTTTGACTGTTTTTCTTAAACTATAAGCAATAGGTCAACTATATTTATTGTATGGAAGGATTGTAAGCTGTACATGCCTGCCTGGCATGGTTCATCTGACCTTGACCTCATTTTCATGGTTCATTGGTCAATGTTAAGTTTTCTTGATTAAGTCTGTTTCTTAGAAACTAAAAGCAATAGGTCAACTATATTTAGTGTATTTAATGATTGTAAGGTGAACATCTATTTCTTGTCTGGTTTTTATGACCTTGACCTCCTGTTTTTGGATCATTTTAAGTTAATGTGATAGTTGCAGTAAAGCTTAATATTTAGGACTATCAGCATAAAATCAATGGTTAATAAAGAAGGCGAGAATTTTCAGCGTGTGCACTCTTGTTTACTCATTAAGAAAGGGGGTATAATTTTGCAGCATGCTAAAGTTCAACTTTATTCCTGTGATTTTTTCTGGTTGGTATTTTGTTAATAAATTGCATTGGAGTAATAATTATGCAAAAAGACTTGGGATAGTTCATTAAAGACATTAATTTCTGGAGGCTAGTATAAGTAGTGTCAGTAACCACCATTTACCTTACCCCATACTAAATAGAAAATAAAACACTTTTGATTGTTTTTTCAACTAACCAAATGAGTTTCACAAGTTTCAAGCAATACTTATTCAAGATCACAAATTTTTTTTCTATTGTGTTGACCTTTATTTTTGACCCCAAGTGCAACCTTACTGTTTCCTTTATTGTGTTTTACCCGTTAGCAAATTGAATATTTTATTTCTTTAGGAATAGCTGATCTAATTATGCAAAAATACCTAAGTTTTTGACATTTTTTGTATGGTAATCTCAAATGGAATAAAAGTTATGCTATAACAATGTTAAAATATTATACCTATAACTACCTCATAACTTTAATATTTTGATCACAATTGTGTTAAAGAAAACAGAAAATTGGATTTAAATAGTTATTGTTTTTTTGCTTTTGTACTGGTAACAGGACAGACACGAGATATGGACATAAGGATTGAGATATGCTGTTATTTTCAATTTTGAACAATTTGTTTTTTGCACTTCACTTGTTCTGTGATTTAGAATAGTAGTTTTCTTCAATAAACGTGTTTATTGAGATCATTGCATCATGTTTAGCATCCAAAAGTCTTCTAGGAGTTATAAAGACATTTTTTGAAAATGACCCGTATAAGATTTCAAAATGAAGTTCTTAAAAATTACCGGTAATGTGCTGAATGGATCATTGTTATTTTTATTTTAGATTAATGAAATAGGAAGATGCCACTACGAGAACATTGGAATGGCTTTAGGGAAAAGGTAATACTGATTTACAAACTTAATGGAAATGTAAACTCTAAAGACATGAAGGGTTAGCTCTCAAAGTAAAATAAGGGGTACAACCTCTCAAATTTTAATTGTTTTGGATTTGATCCATTTTTGTCGAGCATTCGACTTAGGTCAAAAAAGAGAGACATAGCAATCCTACATTCCGTCGTTGGCGTCGGCCGCGTCCACAAATATTCACTCTGTGGTTAAAATTTTTGATTTTTGAAATTTTAATAACTTTCACAAACTATACTGGATTTGTACCAAACTTGGACAGAAGCTTGTTTATGATCATAAGATAGTATCCAGAAGTAAATCAAAAAAAAAAATCCATTTTTTCTGTATTTTACTTATAAATGGACTTAGTTTTTCTGCCAGGAAACAATACATTCATTCTTGTTTTTAAAATTTTAATAACTTTCTTAAACTATCCTGGATTTGTACCAGACTTGGACATAGGTTTGTTTATGATCAAAAACTAGTATCTAGAAGTAAACTTTGTTAAAATTTTGCACCTTTTTATCAGTATTTTACTTATTAATGGACTTAGTATTTCTTGCAGTTATCATTACATACAGTCTGTAGTTAAAGTTTTTAAAACATTTATTAGATTCATAAACTATCCTGGATTTTTACCAATCTTGGACAGAAGATTCTTACAATCAAAAGATAGTATCGAGAGGAATATTTTTAATAATATTTTCCCTCATTTTTGTTGAACCTGCGAATAACAGCAAAAGTAGGCAAGACACTGTGTTCAGTGGAACCCTTACAAACTTTATCATGATAATAGATACAAAATAATAAAAATTACCCCTATCTATCTAAGATAAATTAAAATAAATAGGGTTCTGATCCCAATGGATATTTTTTCCTGGAAAAGCCCCTTTTGAAATAACTTCCCTCTAAGTACTTATTATAAATCCAAGACTATGCAATTGGTCTTACAATAAATGTACTTTTATGATGAAATGAAGCAAGGTTGTCAATACTGGTTTTAACTGGTCATTAGTGATCAATACTGGTCGATTGGATTTTGAACAAGTTAAATTATATGAACAATGGTTCCAAACCGGGGGAATTAAATGTGTACTATTAATTTCATAGTGGCTTTTCAATTATTCTTTTACATGGACTTCTAACATTAGATTTGTCTACTATTTTATAACAAAAAAATAACATTCTTACTTTGGCCCGCAAGTATTTTACTTTGGCATTGACTACAGCAATGCAGTCTTTTCAACTGACTCTGGTGTCTTCATCGATGGTGTGAAAGTTCCAAAAAGGGTCTTTGGGTTTTTGTCTTGGTGAGCATGGTTTATGACAATGGTAGTATAAAGAGCTGATTTTGGACATATTTATAAATCATTAGGAAGATACCATATATGAGAGAAGACATGAAGAGTCCTTCAGCCTTTAAACATTTATTGTTTTAAACTATCCCTTTATATTATTTTATGACCAATTATCTTTTTGTGAGAGGGTGTTGTTTTATTATTTAGTAATTAATGTTGTAAATCATGTAAATTGGCCACCTGTCAGCCAGGTGTAAAGTTACCAGTTCTGCTCTTAATAATTAAGCTACCTGTAAAAAAGCACTTTTGATACTTTTCTTTTGAAACAAATAACTCTACATGCATTTACATTTTAAGATTTAATTGATGTAGTATCTTAACATGAATTTTATTGATATAGTATTTTAACATGAATTTAATTGATGAAGTATTTTAACATGAATTTAATTGATGTAGTATTTCAACATGAATTTATTGATTTTTGTATAATAAATGAAATGTATCATATTACTTCATTAAATACTGTATAGCGGGTTATTTTTCGCGGATGTAAAATTTCTTAATTTTCATTGAATTAGGTATCCGAAATATTTTGGCGGATTCAAAACTTTTATCAATACCTTTGTGAGTACACTTTTAAATTGGTGGAGTTTATTTTGGCGATTTTGTTCTATTCGCGAAAATAAGCAAAAAATTTACACCCTGCGAAAATAACCCGCTATATGGTAGCTTTTAAGCAGTATGTAACCATGGTAACCTTAAAAACACTGAAATAAAGTAGACACTCTATATATATAAACTGTTATTCTACCTAAACACAAAAATATACCATTTTACACTTAAAATGATAGAATACTCTTTTGCAAAATTTCAATCGACCAGTATTGACCACTTTGGGAGTATTGACTGGGTCAATTTAACCGGTTAAAAACCAATGGTGTTAACTGCCCAACCTTGAAATGAAGTGTTGACTGATCTTGTCAGACTAACCACAAAGGTTTTTTTCAAGGTTCTTTTAAAATTGCAGGTTTTGGGGTTAAATTATACTATATCAACCAAACAGTTCATGTGAGTTGTTTTACAATAAATCAGAATCAACTAATTATAAACTAGTTAAAAAATTAAATAAAGACAATTCTGAATTAACATGATTAATTTTGATAGCCATGTGAGAGCGTTAGAGTTAGGGAAAGTCGTTAAAATACCCGATCATCAGAGCCCACATGATTCGTGTTTAAATAAATGTATTTTATTACAGGTGTTGGAGTTTAATGTGATTTACCCAACAGCCCATGTGATCTGCCTTGCCTGGATAGATAATGATGTTGTTTGTGAAGGTTAGAATATATATGTTTATGACGCTTCGAAAATAAAACTGTTTACACTACTGTCGCCAAAGCTATAGAAGATAGATGAAACGTTTGATCAGCAAAAATTATCAAATGGACAAAATCTATTTACCTGCCTAATTTCAGAACAATCAGTTTACTATATGTACTTTAGAAGTTATTGACCCTAAATGACATATTAGCAGGTATTTGGCTGCTATGGTCAAATCTACAGAAGACAGATGAAAACTTTGATAGCAAAAATTATCAGAAGGACAAATTTTATCTACCTGAAAATTTTCAGAAAAATCAGACAACCCATGTATGAGTTATTGCCCCTGAAAACACAATTTTTGTCGAGCCTGCCACTTTTGTCGCAGAAAGCTCGACATAGGGATAGTGATCCGGCGGGGGCGGGGGCGTTAGCTAACTTCTTAAAAGCTTTATATTTTAGAAGGTGGAAGACCTGGATGCTTCATACTTTGTATATGGATGCCTCATGTTACGAAGTTTCCGTCAGTCACATGTCCAATGTCCTTGACCTCATTTTCATGGTTCAGTGACTACTTGAAAAAAAAGTTATCAATTTTTGTAATGTTAAATTCTCTCTTATTATAAGTAGTAGGATAACTATATTTGGTATGTGCATACCTTGCAAGGTCCTCATGCCCGTCAGACAGTTTTCACTTGACCTCAACCTCATTTCATGGATCAGTGAACAAGATTAAGTTTTGGTGGTCAAGTCCATATCTCAGATACTATAAGCAATAGGTCTAGTATATTCGGTGTATGGAAGGACTGTAAGGTGTACATGTCCAACTGGCAGGTGTCATCTGACCTTGACCTCATTTTCATGGTTCAGTGGTTATAGTTAAGTTTTTGTGTTTTGGTCTGTTTTTCTTATACTGTATGCAATAGGTCTTCTATATTTGGTGTATGGAATGATTGTAAGGTGTACATGTCTAACTGGCAGGTGTCATCTGACCTTGACCTCGTTTTCATGGTTCAGTACTAGTGGTCAAAGTTAAGTTTTTGAGTTTTGGTCTTTTTTTCTAATACTATATGCCATAGGTCAACTATATTTGGTGTATGGAAATATTTTTTGGTCTATATGTCAGTCACGCAGGTTTTATATGACCTTGACCTCATTTTCACGGTTCATTGCTCAGTGTTAAGTTTTTGTTTTTTGGTCTGTTTTTCTTAAACTATAAGCAATAGGTCAACTATATTTGTTTTATGGAAGAATTGTTAACTGTACATGTCTGCCTGGCACAATTCATCTGACCTTGACCTCATTTTCATGGACCATTGGTCAATGTTTAGTTTTCTTGGTTAATGTTAAGTTTATGTGACAGTTTTAATAAAGCTTTATATTTAGGACTTTCAACATAATATCAATGATTAGTAAAGAAGGCAAGACATTTCAGCGTGTGCACTCTTGTTTAGTTATTTGGCAATATTCCTCAAAATTTTTGGTTCTTCTGTCTGTCATCCTGTCCCACTTCAGTATCTACGACTTCTAAAGTTGCTTTCCTGGGTGTGTGTGTTAATTGTAATGGATAAATGCTTATAATAAATACTTCTACTTATAATTTCTATATTTTTGTCCCCTGCCGCAATGTGGTGCCGGACTATAGATTTTATTTAAATTTATATCATAGTTGTAATTCCGTATTACCTTGGTCAAGTTGGAATTTCAGTGCTGTACCATCATTTTTGTTGAGCCTGCGACTTTTGTCGCAGAAAGCTCGACATAGGGATAGTGATCCGGCGGCGGCGTTAGCTAACTTCTTAAAAGCTTTATATTTTAGAAGCTAGAAGACCTGGATGCTTCATACTTTGCATACAGATGCCTTATGTTACAAGGTTTCCGTCTGTCATATGTCCATTGTCCTTGACCTCATTTTCATGGTTCAGTGACTACTTGAAAAAAAAGTCAACATTTTTTGTAATGTTAATTACTTTCTTATTATGAATGATAGGATAACTATATTTAGTATGTGCATACCTTGCAAGGTCCTCATGCCCGTCAGTTAATTTTCATTTGACCTCTACCTCATTTCATGGATCAGTGAACAAGGTTAAGTTTTCGTGGTCAAGTCCATATATCAGATACTATAAGCAGTAGGTCTACTATATTTGGTATATGGAATGATTGTAAGGTGTACATGTCCAACTGGTAGGTGTCATCTGACCTTGACCTCATTTTCATGGTTCAGTGGTCAAAGTTAAGTTTTTGAGTTTTGGTCTTTTTTTCTAATACTATATGCAATAGGTCAACTATAAATGGTGTATGGAAATATTTTATGATGTACATGTCAGTGTCACAGGTTTTATTTGACCTTGACCTCATTTTCACGGTTCATTTCTCAGTGTTAAGTTTTTGTGTTTTGGTCTGTTTTTCTTCAACTATAAGCAATAGATCAACTATATTTGATGTATGGAAGGATTGTAAGGTGTATATGTCTGTCTGGCAGGTATCATCTGACCTTGACCTCATTTTCATGGTTCATTGGTCAATGTTAAGTTTTTCATGGTTAAGTTTGTATCTAAGATACTATTAGCAATAGGTCAACATTTAATGCCTAAATTGATTGTAAGGTGTACATGTCTGTCTGGCATGGTTCATCTGACCTTGACCTCATTTTCATGGTTCATTGGTCAATGTTAAGTTTTCTGGTTTAAGACTGTTTCTTAGAAACAATAAGCAATAGGTCAACTATGTTTGGTTTATTGAATGATTGTGAGGTGTACATGTATTTCTCGTTTGGTTTATCTGACCTTGACCTCATTTTCTTGGATCATGTTAAGTTTATGTGTTACTTGTAGTAAAGCTTTGTATTTAGGACTATCAACATAAAATCAATGGTTAGTAAAGAAGGTGAGACATTTCAGCGTGTGCACTCTTGTTGTAACAGTTATTGCCCTGTTTAATTCTGAAAATTTCACTGCCAGATGGGAGACATTTGAACGCTGTTCTTTTATTTACATATTGTTTGTTTATATTTTGTAGGTACCAATGAGATGAAGAATATTACATTGGAACTCATAAAGAAATACAAGGATCTTCTTACATTATGCATGTTATGTAAACCACAGCCTGTTTTCCCTGAACATGCTAAAGGTAAAGATAAAAAATATAGAATCTAACTGAGTGAGTGGTATATATCAAAAACTATTGAGATCCCCACCCCTTAACAATATATATTCTTGATCCTCATGAAGTAATTTATTGACATTATAGGGGGTCTGAGGGGGGTCAACCCCATCTCCTCCATTTTAAATATAACTTCATATCTCAAAAACCCTCAAGATCCCCATCCTAAACCATATATATTCTTGTTCCTGGTGACTTAAGGAATTAATTGACAGTTTTGGGGATCTGAGGGTCCCATTCCCTCCCTTTTAAAAATGAATTAATAATATCTATTTTGGATTCAGATGGCCACCAAAATCTTTAAATGTTTCGATTTCAATGACATTTGGTTTTCAATTTGGGAGTGCATGTTCATTTTCAGCATCATGTACTTACAAGAAGCTCTCCTTGCCCATAGGGCCATGTGAGCTATTGCCTTCACGTCTGTTGTAAACTTTTTAACAAATCTTCTTTTCTGAAACTACTGAACAGATTTGGCTCAAACTTAGCCACAATCATAATTAGGTTATCTATTTTAAAACTTGTGTTGATTTTTTTCTGTCATCCAATAAACATGGCCGCTGTTGCTTAATATAGGACATAGGGTCAAATGCATATTTTGGGCAATTATATGGGATACTGAAAAAGCCGATACTTACAAATGACCAACATGGTCAGTTCTACTTGAATGAGAAGTTTCATCGAAATCCAATTACTGAAGGTGGAGTTGTTGCCCCTTAAAGGTAATTTTTTGGCAAGTTTTGGTTTATTTGGCTATTATCTTGAAAATTATAAGAAAAAGGTAATCGACGTAAAATGCTAAATGATCGGTATAATGGGCTCTTCTGGCTTGCTTAGTTTCATCAATATCCAAGTACCAATGTAGAGTTGCAATCCCTTAAAGGCCATTTTTTGACGATTTTTGCTATTATCTTGAAAACTATAAGAGATAAGTAATCAATGTAAATTGCTGAAATGATCAGTATAATAAGCCCTTCTTGCTTGTAAACGTTTGTCAATATCGGAGTAGTGTTGAATGGTAGGGTGTCCGGTATCGAAAAAAAGACGTCTAGTTAACGAGTTTAAGTTAACGGATAACACACGGCAATATTTATATGCAAACTATGGGAAAATTATTATTCTTTCCAATCATGAATGTCGTCGTAAGCTACCGTGGTCACATTTTCAAAATTTTGTGGTTTCTTAGGGTACCAAAAGAAACCGCACCATACAGGTCATCTTCAACACAAAAAATAAAATTATTGCTCTCTGTGTTATTTGTTCAAATTATACTTAGCATTTAGCTTAAAAATTAAATTAATCATTTAACGAAAGCTAAAAATATTTATATAATTTAAGTTAAGTATTTCATGATTTTAGTAAGACTTTTTTTAGCTGAAGTTTACTACATTTTGAACGAAAGAAAATTTATTATGTGTTACTTTCACGGGATTTTTACTGTCATTAAAGCAATACATCATGGTTCATATGTGTGTCAAATATCTTTCGTGTAATGTTAATCGATGAGAAGAAAATAGCAATTTAAAACACAAATTAAGTCAAAATTTCTGCCTTGATTCAAACACGCCTTATCTCGTGCCGTTAATTGTTTTGTAGTTTACACTATCAGGTCATTAACTAGGATAACTGTCACTCACTTCATTTCTCTTTTTTGCTCATTGTATGGTCGATTTGTATGTTTTGAATAGTCCAGTAAGTTTGAATATGGTTGTTTTGTTAGGAAATGTTTTTTTAGGTTGGTTTTTATAACTTTAATTGTTTTTTTGAATTGATAGATTTGTTATAATTGTAATATACAAATTAAATCCTTTGGTCACGTTTCAAACCCGGAATATGGAACACATTCACAGTCCTGTTAAACTATGCCTATCAAACCCTAAACGAAGTAGGAATAAAATACAATGGGATAAGTGTGTTATATGTCAGGGTACTTCTACTGAATTGCTTATTAATATGCGAGGAATTAGCAAAAAAAGAAGCTTTATTGAGGCCATGAGAGCACAGAAAGATGTATATTTTAGTATATTACATGATGCTTCCGACCTAGATCACCTTCGTACTGCTGATTACAAAATAATGTACCACCATTCTTGCTATAAATCGTACACTAGCAGACACAACTGCAGTCATTTTAAAGCTGAATCAAGTTCTTGTTCGTCTGTAAAAGTGTCATATATAGAAGGTCGTCAAATTCCTGATTGGAAAAAAGTTTCTTGGAGTCGGTGATTACAAGCAGGCCTGATTCAGATTTCTTGGGAATCAATTGTTCAGCATCAGGTCAGATCAACAGTTACTATGACACATGAGAAAGTCACTTATCTAGCTGGCACTTCCACTGCCCCTAAATATGTCAGAAGGAGTATTCAGATTTGAAGAATTATTTTTTACGCACGATGAAGCAGATACTCGCATGAATTTACATGCTATTCATGTAGACAAAGAGTTCGGTGTGAAAGGAATCAAGGGTAGGATAATAATAAAGTCACCAGATACAGATGTACTGATCTTATGCGTTCATTACTTCTCCTTCATGCAGCATACGCATGAGCTATAGTTTCAAACAGGCACTATAAATTGCACACAAGATTTGCGCCGCTATATACCTGTCCACGAAATATGTAAAAGTCTCGGGTCTGTCATCTGTAACATTCTACCAGCCACACATGCTGTAACAGGATGCGATACAATGTCATCCCTGTTTGGGATCAGTAAGCGCACTTTTTTTAAAGTCTTAAAGGACAACCCAGATGATTTCACCGATTTGTCAAACCTTTTGAATAGTGACATCAATGAATCTATAGATGCAGCTTGAAATCTTGTTGTTAGGTTGCACGATCTCAATTCAAAACTCAAAACAGATCATAGTGACCTAAACAAATTGAGGGTAAAATTTCAGCTACAATTAAAAATTTCTCCCTTGTCAAATTTCCTCATTGTGAATCTACCATTAAAAAACATGTGATATGAGCTCAGGGTTTCAAATTAACTTTAGGCAATGGAAGGTCCAGGACCTTTGACCAAAAAAACTGAAAGGTCCTCCTTAAGACTTAGAAGGTCCAATTCTAAATGAACTTGAATTTTGAAATTGAATTTATAAAAAATCAGAAAAAGTCCTTACACTTCCAAAGCATTCATCAGTTCTAACTTCTTACTGTTTAAAGGTTTGATATCTAAAAACCCAAAAGAAACCATGCATACTATGTTCACTAAATCAGTTTGGCAAATTTGGTATGATCTTAACTCTTTGTTTGATTATATGACTTTGTGCTGTTTGTAAAAATGTGAGTTTACTGCTTTTTATATCATATTTTTAATGTTTGAATTGTTAAATAATGTATTTCACTGAAGTAAAATATAACTCTGTAACATAAATAAGTAAGTAAAGTTTATAAACTGATTTTCTTTAATTCAGTCTCAAATAAATCAAAACATCTAGTATTGTAACTATGAAGATAGATAAATTAAAATGATAATTAATTGTTGCATTGTCATTATATGGCCATTTGAAGTTCTTATTATGTTTACTTAAAACTGAATCAGTTATTTTAACTCATTTTCCAGACATGGGCAGTTCAAATTCTTCCTCTGTTTCATTCTTTTTCCCCTTTAATTTGTGCCCACTGCAGTGAGGGGTTCTGGTGCTATTCTCAAACCAATACATTATACTGGGTAAAGGTTCAAATTCTTTAATAGAAGGGCCTTCACTCATGATATACAGCTGATTTTGCAGAGATTCCTGTGTTAATCTAGTTCTCAATTTACTTTTAAGTGTATTCATTAAGGAAAAACCCCTCTCACAGCCGCAAGTAGATGATGAAATAGTAAACAACCAATAAATTAGCTTCTCAATAGCAACAGTGTTTGACTTTCATCTTCAACTAAAGTAGGACAAGCACCAAGTACTGCACCCTCATTTTTCCTTGTGGCAGCTTTGTTTTGTAACACCATACTGTACATATTTAACAATGGATTTGCCCTAAATCTGCTTAGATAAAGTTTAAGTTCTGTCCATTCAGATTTTATTTGCTCCTTTTCAGTATCAGAAAATATTTCTCTAAACTCTGGTTGATTTACCAATTCTACTAACTGGTCATTACCAAATTCAGCAAGTTCAAATCCCCTGCCAAGAGGCCACTGATGAAAATTTAATATCTGAAGAAGTGAGAGGGGTTTTTCATTCAAAGACTTGAATCTTGATTCAATATATTTGATGGTACCATCAGTTAATGCATGGAAATCTTTATCAGATTTCATGTCAACAGACTGGACATTTCTTGTACTTATTTTTATTTCCCCAAATGTTTTGTTTGTTACATCAAATTTCTCTGCAAATTGTGTACAATATTTGCCATAACCATTTTTCAATTGAGTAAGATGGATGATTGCTGCTTCGATATGATTATTTAGTTCTATAACTAAATAATCATCAAGTTGAAAAGTGCTGGATAGCTTGGCCACAATTGGTAGGTAGTCCATCAGGAAATGAAGAAACTTAAGAAATTTGACAGATGTAATAACAGTGTGGTACCCTTTTGCTCTATTTGCATCATCAGCACGGGATCCAGCAACAAAATCATGCTCTAGATGACTTACAACAACCTCATAATTTGAAAGCATTGCTTTTACTGCCCTTTCCTTGCTTGACAACCAGCGTACTTGTTTTATATCACCAAAGTGCAAAAGAATTTGATCAAGAATCTCACTTATATCTGTAAGTTCACGTCTGCGCTTAGGGGAATAATAGTAGAACTTGAAAACCCCTTTCAATGTGGTTTCAAATGTTGACATATATAGAATAGTTTTATTTGCATCTAGTATTGCCAATTCAAGTTTGTGAGCAATACAGTGAATACCTATTGCTTGCTTCACCTCATCTTTCAATCTTTTGAAGACACCAGATTTGTTACCAAAATTAACAGAAGCTCCGTCGAAATTACCACAAATAAGTTTAGGACCAGGGGTATCAT